CCAAGTATTCCAACCAAACAACACAAAACAGTGTGCTTTTAATTAGGCAAGTAATACGTGTACGCTTGAAAATAAGTTGGCAACACTTAAATATATTAGGACTACGATCAGCTGGTGCAGCGTTTCCCTTTTCGTTCAATGTTTGGATTTAACCTAACCTAAAAACGTGTTGTACCGAGTTTGAAAGACTAATTATTTGCTTTATAGTTACTGTAGGAAAAATATAGTGTGTAACTCGAGTGCAAAGTGCCTTTGCTGCACTCGATAAACTTTCCACACTCGCCTGCGGCTGTGTGCAGTTTCTCTCGTGTGTAGCAAAGTACACTTCGCACACTAGTTAATAACTTTAAAATCACCTAATCTACTTTTAGTGATTCACTTCATCTCTTTGAGGGAGGTAAATCACTCTTTATGTTATAAATCTACAATCAGGAAATTAAATTTACTATAACTTAGTAGGTTTATTTACCTTATAAATGTCTTTAAAACCGTAATCTTTAAAAAGTTGAAATACATTATGTGTTTTGTAGCTAAAGCCAGTTTTAAACTCTATTTATATGCGCTATTTGCGCACCACCTTGTTTAAATTATACTTGTATAATGTCGTTGAATTGAACATTTTTATTTGATTAACTATATTTTTTTGGCGTATAATACTTCTATCTAGCTATCTTCTCTTAAAAAAATTATATTCCTATCTTTTGAACCTGATTTGTTGGGGTTTTAAAAATGTAAGTTAATTAAACATTATTTGGTTGTTTAATACAATAGTATTGGAGTAGTACTGTATATCTATATATATTAACGCTGTGCAAATATTTTTATTCTGAATACGACACTGTTTTTGAACAGTTAGACCTTGAATAAAAAAGCAGTTACAAGTCTTGTTACTAACTGAGTTAACTAAGGTAAAATGAAATATGTCTTCTAAAACTACATTATATTTCACTATAGTCTTTCTAAATATTAAAGGAATGGTTTAAATACATCAAATACTGTTAGATGACTTATTTAATTTAATACTTAATTAACACCAACACTGACTTAAGAAGTTATTTAGCTGATTTATATTTACTACGAAGCTTTACTTATACAAACAACTATTTTAGTGTTTTAATTAAATGTTGGAATCTTTTTTGCTACAATTGTTTGCCTGATTAAAACCATAACCATAACCATAATGACCATAACATAACCATAACCATTATGGTTATGGTTATGGTTTTAATCAGGCAAACAATTGTAGCTAAAAAGATTCCAAGTTATATGAGTATCATGTTAAATTTGACTTAACAATTTAATTGAATGAAATTTCTAATCCATAAAATTAATTTAGACAATAAAGTTGTAACGTTAGTGTAATTAGGAAACTTGGTCAAACGTAGATTTTTAACACACGAAATCAGTTTAAACCCTGAGAGAAGATAACTAAAACAAGATTCTAATTGAATTATCAAATTAAATTTATTAAATCGGAATATTTGTCGTGAGAATTTTGGATATATTAAGAAATACCATACAGCCAATAAGGTGCATATTTCGTTAGAATGTGTGTATATAAAATACTGCTTAAATCACGGTTTAGTTATTACTGCTACACTAATAGTACTTTGAGAAGGAAAACACTGTTGCTTAATTTAATTCAATTCTAATCAAGAGATATTGGCAAGTTATACAACAATAAGTAATAAGGAGTTTCCAACAAGTATATCTTCTTAATTGTTTTTGTGCCATGGTTTGGAATTATTTCTCAATAGGTTTAGAAAATATTTAGTTAGTTAGAACCTACTTTTCAAAACAGAAATAAAAAAGAAAATATGTTTTAGAGTGACAACAGCATATTACAGAGATATTCTGTTTTTTTGTTCGAAATTAGTTATAAATCCAATTAGTTTTGAATAAAAAAAGTATAGGTAGAAAGAAATAGTTTTTTAAATAAGTACGTATTACTTTGTATACACAATATTCTCACAAATAATTACATAACCTAGATTCTTTGTAAATTCCTAGATAGAAACTCTAGTTTATTAAGTCAATAAGAAGCAAACACCTAGCTTTATCACATCATTTGGAAGTAAAATTAGCTGCAAAATGTTCTTGAAAATGCAGGAGACCTTAACTAGACTTTGGTCCAAGTGGCATCGGTCCAAACCCCTCCTACCGTGACAAAGTCTGAGTTATACAATACAACAATCAATTTTCATACAAAGAGTATTGTTTTCGACTGTACTGTGATTTAGGAGTTCGGGAGAGAAATAAAAGAATATCGAACACAGTGTGTAGAAATTTGGAAAAATTACTTAATTATTTATATTGTATGGGTTACTGCATAGACATAGTCATGTAGGGAGGTATCAATTTGTTGTTCAGCCACGTACACTTTTTCAGATTGATTATAAAACAAAACCGACGTTTGTATAAAGCTACAAGCTTATTTGTTAACATTTGAGAACTTATGGTGTTGTATAGCAATAGTTAACGGACACAATAACTAATAGTTTGAAAACGTCGCAATAGTATGCTTCGTCATTTTGAAAGTATACTTTTTCGACACGGGCTCAAGTTTCAAAAGATTCGGTTCCAAAATGAAATTTTGGTTCAGGTGAGCCTTTTGTTATACTGTGCCATTTCAAAACCAAAATCATTAACAAAATAGTGATTTTGGAACAGTTTATCTTTATCAGATCCAAAAATGACTTTTATTATGTCTTGATTTTTTAAAACGGCACTGTTGCTGAGGAATGAAATATTAATTTAGTCTGTGTAAATGAAGAGATAACTCACTATATAAAATAGTAATTTCTCATTAAGATCGTGTTTTTAATTTACGAGTTTGTGTGCTCATATTTACGTGCTAAATCTGCCGTATTTGGTTTGACGAACGTCTACTGAAACGGTTATGACATCCTTCGAAGCCTAAAAGACTTATTAATAAGTCTAAACTAGTTTATGCACGATGAACAATTATTGATTACACAGAATGTATTTGAACAAATGTTTAAATTCATGAGGTCAAAGGAGAGCATTGAGAATTTTTTTTGCTCATGTAATTAAACCGAAATCTATCCAAAATCTTTTGGAAACTTGCGTGTTTTTTTTTTGCATTAATGATAAAAACTTCGTAGATTTAATTGTGAATTTAAAAAATATAATCTTACAGTAAAATATTTAAATACAAATTAAAGACTAGGTAAAATTTGATTCAAACAATAGATACTCGATATGCTTGACGGTTAAGTAGCTAGAAAACGCCGATTCATATATTATTTTTAGGCAAATAAAATAAAACCTATAACAACTTGAACCGCAATGCTAATTTGTAAACAAACTAACATTTAACTTATGGTTAGATACAAACCTGGTATTTTCTTATACCAGTAAAATACTGAGTAACATGGTGTACCCTATACCGATTTCTACGAAGGTAGGATATTTTCATATATTATTTTGCAGCATCATATAGGCACTGTTCTTTGAATTCGTAGATATATGCTTACAAATTATGTCAATACCGTAGTTAGGGTCTATCGTCGAGAATAAAAGCTAAGTTGAAGTCTTAATTTCATTTTTGACGTTAGCCTCGGGATTACGTTGAATATTTTTTAAATTGGTGTTAATACCTGCTTCTTAGTAATCCAAAAGGTTGTTGCAATGACGCAACTAGTTTCAACTTCTCACAAAGTCATCGTCAGGTGTCAAGGGGATGGTGAATCCCTTCGGCGATACACATACAGTATTGCAAATTTATAGACGAACATGGACACGGACACGAACACAGAAACGATAAAAAGGTACGTTTATTTTTAACGAGTGAAAGGCTAAAAATGGTAACAACGGTAAGGGATGATGCGTCACGACCGGATGGATGTAGCGTCTAGACTGCAACATTTTGGATTACCAAGATAGAGACTTAAATTAATGAAGTAAAAATCCCGTTAGAATGTACTTGCTCAATTATAAGTGCTATACAGTCGAGTATACATATGTAGAAGACTTTTATGTAAATTATTATCATAGATTACATTATTTGTTAGATTCCTTAGAATTTTTTTTCAATATTTTAATTTTCCTTACAAAAACCCATAAGGTCCTATTAGTTTTTAACAGGACAGATTTTCACTATATTTGAGAACACTCCTTTCTAATCTCAACAGCCCTACATCTAAAGAAAATATAATACACTATCATTATTCTTGGGTTTTCTGTAGCATCAAGCTTCAAACCAGTCATCTCGAAGACATCACTGTTAGGTAAATTTGTAAATTTTGGTATTGTCACTTACAACACATTAAACTATCGATCTTCTGGTGAGGAAGATCAAATGTAGCCTACAGATGACTGGTTCGATTGTTCCAAATATTTACAAAGTGATTGTTATGTATAATACTTGTTACTTGGTTGTCGAGGTGTGGAGCGTTGAGGTGGTGTCTTCTCCGTAGGTCCAAAGGTACACTGAAGGCACAACACTAACCGATCTTCAAAGCACTATCTTGACACTCACTAACACACACGCACTGCACTGGTGAACTGACCACAGACCTTGACAAATTGAACCTAAGACCCTCATTATGATTGATAGACAGGACATCGGACAGGTTCAGGGGACTGTGAGAGGACACAAGTGAGGAATACAGAGGAAGAAGATAGACACAGAATAGAACTAAGATTTAATGCAACGATATACAACAAGATTTTATCTGTAAGCCCTTCCTTCGAAGGAAATGTAAAATTGATAGATTTACCAGAAAGAAGAGATAGAAAGTGTTACACAAGGAAAATGAGAAAGTAGGGATAACAATCTGAAACATAGAAAAGAAGCGATGGTAAATAGCATTGTATAAAGGTCATCAAGTAAGATATTAAACTCAACAGTTTTCTACAAGTACAGGCGAGTGAGGAGGGTGGAGAGTGCCGGGGTTCTACTAGTCCACTAGTCGGAGAGGAATGTGGTGGGGGTGAGAGGAGGCGCGGATGGGACGGCAATGGCTCATCGTACTTACCGATGAATAAGAAAAATATGAGCAATCCAAGTTCTCTCATCGAGGCCTTCAAAGTTCGTCCGAGAATTTGAAGTCCTTTGGAGTGTCGAGACAACTTGAATATTCGAAACACTCTGACTAACCTAATAACTCTGAGAATAGCTAAGGACATGGCCTGGTTCGTGCTCTTGTCCTGGGGACTGACCGGCGCCTTGGGGAGGTTCAATGTGTCCTCCTCCTCGGCGACCACGGTCGCCAGTGTTATAAAATACGGAATGATCGCGATGATGTCGATTATGTTCATCACGTCTCGGAAGAAATTGAGTTTATTAGGACAGGCGAGGAAACGCACCGACAGTTCGAACGTGAACCATATGATACATATAGTTTCGATAAGAAAGAAGGGGTCCGTAATATCGGGCACTTCGTCCTCCTCGATCTTGGTACCGTTGGTGGTCGTGTTGAAGACTTTGTAGTGTTTGAACTCCGGCAGCGTTTCGAGGCAGAATATGACGATGGACAGAAGGATGACGAACACTGAGATGATGGCGACGACTCTAGCGGCCTGCGAACTCTCCGGGTACTCGAACAGCAGCCACACCTTGCGCTGGAACTCGTGCGTTGGCAGCGGCTTCTCCTCCTCCTTGATGAACCCCTCGTCCTCCCTGGCACAGAGAAAATATACCATCAGTCACGTGGTTGCAACAGATAAAGAAAATGGTGATGAAACCTGGATTGAAACACACTTTTGGATAAAGAAGAAACGTCGGCTTTATACAAGCATCTTTCACGAGGTACAAACAATCCACTAATATTTACAAAGAAAAAAGTTTATCAAATTGTAAAAAAAATCTTTAATTGAAATATGTTTATAACAACGAACTAATATGTTTATTTGTATTCTGTAATTCAATCGAATTCAAATAAATATCAACATTCAATTCATAAAGATCGACATCTAAAATCACGAATGCAATTTCCAAAATTTCACTAACCGTTAATTACTATCAACATTAGTTTCTAACAAATCCTGCATCTCTGTAGTATTTAATTAAACATCGAAACGAACATTAGCTTTCATAACCTAAGACAGAACAGTGTCAAGGGTTTTCCTGAATCGCATAAATGCAATCAAATTCCATTAAAAACCATCACGGCTTGTTGCTAAGTAGTAGGGGTGATAACTGATCATTGATAGTTTGCTAGGAGTGTGTCCTCGCCTCCCCACAGCCGCAGTACCGCACCCTACAGTGTATTGATCGTACTAGGCAACCCACCCACCCACCCACTCACTGTAAACACTGACTTTCTTTGATAACAGACCACGGCGTGTTGGCCATACTGGCCTCCATCGAGATAACATAGATACATCAGTCTTGGTAATGAAAGAGTCTGTATCGAGATAGGTACCAAAAATCTATTCTAGATTACATGATCCTAAATTGAGACAAAAGCTGTAGTTAATTATATTTTAGTTAAAGTTATAGAATTGTTAACATTATCTACTGTTAGTTGTGAATGAAATTATAATCATACTAATACTATTTAATAAAATTATAAAACTGAAAGTGTGTGTGTTTAGTGACTCAATCATGCATTACTGGTCGGATTGGACTGAAACATGGCATGATAATAACTCATATTCTCCATTAACATATTCTTGTCTCAAAAATCCTTTTGGGCTTTGCCACAGTGGAACTAGAGTTTCCCATATTTACCTTATGGGGATCATTATCTAAAAAGAATCAACGAAACGTTACAGTTGTTTCAACTAAACAAAAAAGTTGAGTTTTATGATGTTCAATAGCATTAAAAGATTACAAGGTTTAGCAACAGAAAGCAACATTATTTTCCCCTGTTGCAAAGCACGGGGCCAGCAGCTAGTATGCCAATATAATTATTTACAGTTTTATGTTTTTATTGTGGTGGTACACCTGCGTGTGTACTCTTCTTGATCTTCATCCTATCCGCTCTTTTGGATAATGGCTCTACTTGTAACGTGTTCTATGTGTATTGTGCGTTGCTTGGTAAAAGTACTTTTACTATATAACTTGAGTACTTCAGTTATTTTTTAAATACCTCTCACACACAATCTATACCATAGGGATGTGAACATCAACATAACATCCACTATGACATCTGACAACATTCTAGAAACGACGCACGCGTAGGTGTATTTTAAGCTGGATGAATGCTAAGTAAGTGTAGAATGGAGTGAGCTGATCTGTGTAGCTTTATTGACATAGCCCAGATGATTAATTAGTAAGGATCATGTATTAAAAGCCCAATCATCAAGGACTACCTAGTTTCGAACCATCAAAGACCCACCAAATTTGATTGAAATCGTCTCTGAAGTGGTAAAATATCAGTCTTGGTGTTGAAAAGAGTTTATCCAACAATCTATGTCCGGGTTGTCTGTAAATACCCAAGATATGTAGTAGATGAATGTGTTGAAACATAATATAGTTTTGGTCACGCCAGTGTCCCCGAAATCCATTAAATGCAAGGCTATGTCAAGCTAGGATTGCTATTTCATTTTTATAATTTAGAAACATTTTATTTCAAATTATTCATATCTCAAATGATAAACAAACTATCCTAAACTAATAACCTGCCCCATATTTGATTTAAATGAGTTTGGGACAGCAAAAGGATCCTGACCATAGTTGTTTGATGGGATAGACTCGTCTTAATCGTGATGAGAACCGGACCCAGCTGTTCTTGATCATTGGGCTTTAAATAAATGATACTGACTTGAAACAGCAACAGCTGATCTTAGTCAATAACAATACTACTCAGATCATCTCACACCATTCTACACTCATCCTTCATTCATATTTGGGTTAAAATACGCACCTAGGTGGCGTTCCCATCTTAAATAAATAATTGATTAAATATTAGCCTTTCAAGTTATAGTGTTTCTAATGCTATGCAATTTCTAAGCAATGCTAAATAAATATCTATATTCAATGTAAAAATGTGTGTTTTACATTTTTTTGTTAAATTTTAGGACTTTTTAGCTTACTTGGATGATTAATTAAAACTAGTTAAGATAGGAGAATCATCGAATAAACTAATAGTTAGTTCAAATATTTATACTTGTTTCTTAGCTTATAATTTTCACTAAAAAGGCTAGGTTATTTATCATTTAAAAAGTTTTTAGTTTTATTTTGTCAAACATTTAAACAAATTTTGACTTACTTGAACAGTAAATATTACCAATTGTGCAACTCAAATGGATATTTGGAGTCACAATCCGACGTATACATGGTTATTATTTAAAAGGAACCAGGCGATTTTTTTACAGTAATATGATGCTTAAACAAGAAATTCGTTTCCTATAAATATAAAAACTATAACATGTAGCTCAATCCCGTCATGAGAAGTGCCAACATCAGCATTGAGTACGGCTCAAGGGAGCCAGGTCGGTGATCTTTTTACTATTAACACTCTAGGTTATACTCATGACACCCCCGTAAAACCAGGTTGACATGCACAGTTAACAAGCATAGTTCAAGCAAGCTTTCTCCGTGGAAAAAGCTACACTGTTAATAAGTAAGCCTCACAAAAAACAACATTTTTGCACATTTTTATCGTACAACAATTTACCACTCTTATTTAAATTTTTCAATAGATCAGATTTTAACTTTGATAAGTTTTAGGAATTGTGATGATTAATTATTTATAGTTTTAACACTGAGGGGAAAGTATTTCCCATTTTATTTTTATCGGGACTAAAAGTGGTATTAAATTTAGCAAGTTGATTAAGTTATTTTTACAGTATACGTTATTATAACCCCTACACGTAAAATGTTTAATAAAGTTATCATACAGCATAAAAATGTTTTTTTATTGATGTGTAGCTTCAAAACATTTGACGGGCTACTATTTTGGATAGAGGAGAGATAGCGAACTCAGATTTTTGCCATTCTTTAAGTTTTTGTAAACACTTCAAAATGAGGTGTTGAAGGGGGTTTACATTTAAAAACTTTGAGTTGCCCCCCAAATCCCTCATTTTGGGGGAAACTAAAAATTTTCAAAATCATCAAATAAAACCTTACGCCAAGATTGAACGACCACCAAAGGATATCTCTGTATATCCACTTAGAAAACTATTATATGAGGGTTCTTGACTTTTGATTCACCCTGTATAACGTTTTGATATTTTTTATGTATTGATATAATGATATTGATTTGAACACTACAAGTATTTCCTACAGTATAACCCATTTACTGTGCTGGCAAGAAGGTCTAGTTTCACATACATGTTTACTGTCACAATCTACAGTTCTACATACAAGTTCATGAGCACTCCGTCTAGACTCAATTCTGTTTAAGGGTTATCTGTGGAAGTTCAATCCCCTTGTGTACTGAACTGATTAATTATTTAGGAGACAATTACCTGAAGTGGATACTCGTCTTTTCCGGTGAATTTCCTTATTTTACCTTTGCTTCCGGTATAGTGACATTCTAACTGAATGAATATTTTAAAATGGAACTATCAACCGTAGCAGAAGACTTGGTTACTAGCTTTATAGTGGAATTTGTTTCGATAAACTTCAAATTTATTGTTAATCTACTTATAATATTAAAGTGTGTAGAGCAACAAATTAAATACCTCATAGAACTTGTACATCATATAGTATGTTTCGATAAACATCGTAATTTTTAACGCTTATCTCTAAGACGTGGGAAATAACGCACCTCCTCTGGATATTTGTTTTTCTCGTTTGCTACCATTTTTATTCCGTTCTAGTTTACTTACTAAGATTGTAGAGCAAAAGTAAAATGTAAACGAACAAAATTCAAACGACCAATACTCATTTGCAAACCAAACTTGCATCCTACATACCCAAACTTATAACCTACGTACTCAAACTTATAACCTACGTACCCAAACTTGCATCCTGCATACCCAAACTTATAACCTACGTACTCAAACTTATAACCTACGTACCCAAACTTGCATCCTACATACCCAAACTTATAACCTACACTCAAACTTATAACCTACGTACCCAAACTTGCATCCTACATACCCAAACTTGCATCCTACATACCCAAACTTATAACCTACACTCAAATTTATAACCTACGTACCCAAACTTGCATCCTACATACCCAAACTTATAACCTACGTACTCAAACTTATAACTACGTACTCAAACTTATAACTACGTACCCAAACTTGCATCCTACGTACACAAAACTTTATCCTAGGTACCCAAACTTGTATCCTACGTACCCAAACGTCTAATCTATGTAACCGAACTTTAACTTACGTAACCTAACCTGTAACCTAGCCACCCAAACCTGTAACCTATCTACCCAAACCCCGAACTACGTACCTAAACTTCTAGTCTACGTAACAAAACAACAAACCCTGTAACCTACCTCCCCAAACTTTTTATCTACGTACCCAAACTTCTAGCCTACGTACCGAAACCTGCAATTTATCCACCCAAACTTCTAACCTACGTAACCAAAATTTCTAGCCTACGTGCCCAAACTTTTAACTTACACACCCAATTCTAACCTACCTAAACTTGTTCGTGGCGAGCTCTCCCAGCTCGTAGAACTTGATCTCCTCTGAGAAGACATCAAGTGGCACATTTACAGGTCTCCGTAGTCTGCCTCCGCTCTGGTAATAGTAGAGGATGGCGTCGAAGCTGGGGCGGTTCCTGTCGAAGAAGTACTCGTTCCTCAGCGGGTCAAAGTATCTTATGCGGCGGGCGGGGTCTCCAAGGAGCGTATCGGGAAACTGGTTCAGCGTGCGGAGTTGCGTTTCGAACCTCAGACCACTCACCTGCACACACAGATAGAACTTTAGACCCAACGGGGAAAGAATCTTCAGCTACAGACCTACAAATGGTGTCACTCTGTTCACAAATGATGCCAGTAAGTGGCGAGGAGCCTTTTTGCTTACTAAAGTGAACTGTTTATACGAAAAAAATCTGCCATTACTTAAAAGATACCCTCGTATTAAGGCTAAGTATATTATGCATACATTCTATACACTGTTGAAGTTTTTAGGCAAAGACTTTGACTAGGAATTCTGTATAATGTATTATATATGTATAATTGTCATGCTATAGAATGCCAACTGTAGTGTCAGAAAAGCATATTTAAGGTACCGATATTTGTTCCCAAAAAAATTTTCCAACTGTACAACATTAAAATTTGTTGTGTATGGTTCTATTTGATTAGTGTTAAGGTTTGTTTATTTTGGATTAGATTGGCAAAAAATAATCATAAGTATAAAAATGACCTTTAGAGTAATTAAACATTGTATATGATTGGGTTAGGCTGAATTAGATCAGATTAGTCGATGCGAAACAGGAAACAAATGTCTAAAAATCCTACGACAGCGTATACTTTGCCTGTAGTGCCTCGGACATTCTATATAATGCCAAGGCAAAATGTATAATAAACCTTCATTTTATACGCCTAATACATTCTAGACAATTATAGAATGACTGATCGCAAACTTTGTCTGGACACACATTATGTTGCAGACTTTAGCAATGTTGGCTTGCAAAAGTAGTCAACAGCATTTTGTTGACAGTTTGGGCAACAGACGAAGGCAAGAAACCATATTGGTTAGGAAATTAATTTCAGGGGATATAAAATGGTTTAAATTCCGTCATCTAGGAATATGTTAATTAGAAATTGATAAAAAACGTAGCTAAAAATAGCAATATTAAAATCAAATGTCACAAATGTCAAATAACGACTAAAACAACAGCTCGAGCAAACAAACAATTAACTTATTTTTGATAAATTTTTATCCAGTAAAAATAACACTTTGCCAAAGTGTACTATACAAATTAAGTTAGTAAAAAGTGTTGCACCCGACATCACACTAAGTATAACCTATATTCAAAATATACCGTACTATTCATCCAATGAGCAGTGCGTTCAGTACGCGTATAGAAAATTCAATTCCATAAACACTTCCAAAAAATGAAAAATGAAAATTCCAATTAACGGCTAACAGTAAAACAATTTGGCAACCCAAATACAATAAATTGGAAATCGTTGGCAGTGATCATAAACCGAGGGTGATGATGACCGCTATAATTGCCAGGGAGAGCGAGGAAGAGGGAAGAGGGAGAGGGAGAGATTGATAACGAGGGATAGGGAGAGATGTGGCGGGATGCGGAAATCACCGCATCAACAGGTGGTTGTTGCTGATGATGTACAAACTGGGGATAAAAACTCGTTATTTATACATGAATAATAATCTATCAGAATAACAACAGAGTCGTCGACCGATTTCGACAAATGGGGTGGTTCCCCTTTTGTGGCCAATCTTACCATTTTTGGGGTTGAAACTTTTACGACGGCGATTTTACTCAGCTGTTTTAAATGTAATTTGAAAGTGGTGCATGTGTGTAGTGTAACTTTATGTACGGCTGAGTAGTCTGGGGTTGTTGGTGAGACCAGATCAATGGCCAGTGGTATTTTACTAACGTTTAGGTACAGCTGGATTCAGTGTTGAACAAACGGAACTTTTACAAGCTAACCTTGTGAACTTAATTAAACCTGAAACCAACATTTATGAGAAGAAAAAAGCTCAGTATCGAATAATGTGCTTAAATCCTAAACAGAAATTCCTTGTTGTACTTGGCCACGGAGAAGATGGTGGTCTATTGTCTGTGGTTTGACTCACGTTGAGATATATAAAAGATAAGCTTTAGAAGAGGGAGAGAGTTTGTTCCAATCTTTGATAAAGGGAGTGGGGGAGAAGATGGACGTAAACATTTTGTATGTAAGAAAAATGTAAACAAGATTATTTTTGTGAATCGAACCATACAAGGACCTAGTTTTATGTAGGCTAGTATAAAAAACACAAATTTTATTATTGATACAGGAAATATAGCATTACTTTATTTGAATCATTGTAACGAAACAAATACAGTGAGATCGTCGTATAAGATACCATTACATGAGTACATGCAAATAACAGCTTGACCAACAAACAATCATACGGTATAAATTGTCGTAAATAAATATGTATAGAACATAAACAACACTTGGCCAGAGTGTAATATAAAAATAGTGTTAGCAAGTATCTAAAAACATACTAAGTATGGGATAACATATATTCAAATATTGTCTTTTCACCCAGACAAGTTCAGACAAGTTCTAAGTGGTGGCTGCAGTCTATCCATGATGGGGAACTTTTCTTGAAATCATTTATATATTAGGAATCTGCAAAAGACGGATTTTTGCAACTAAATTCAATATAATAAATGTTGAAAAGTCTGTCATTAAAAAGTATGACATAATGATTGGTGCAAGAGGGACTATTACAAAACTATTGACGAATAAGAAAAAAAAATTATCAACATTTAAAAATGAAATAGTCCTAAAAGTGTTAAAAGGATCATGTAAAATCATTCAAAATCATTTATATGGATAACGTTAAGTTACTTTATTATTTATATCATAAATTTAAGTTTATTATTACTGTGTCTAATAGGCGAAGTTTATTATAATAAACACAGTTTTCAAAATAAAAATACTATTATTGAAAGTGAAATGTCTTAAGTAATGGCCTATAAACTAAGGAAAGAGAACTGACATCATAAGAGGTAAATAAGGTAAACTACGGCATGTCTTCATGCACTGAATTCTTAACAGTGGTTTAACTGATATCCAATCATCCAAGAATTGTAGTTACAGAAAATTCAATATAAATAAATTCAGATGGGGACGCCAGATTTCAGATGAGGTGCCAAACCGCAAATATGAGTGAAGGAAGAGTTTAGGTTGTGAGATGATCTGTGTAGATTTTTCACTGGCTAAGATCGGCAATTTCAGTCAGGATTATTTATTTAAAGCCCGATGATCAGAAACAGCTGGGTCCAGTTACGAATCATCAAAAAGGTACCGTCTTTTCTCAGGAACATAGTTGGCTTTTGATTGTTGGGTGAGCGCTAACCACTCAGCCACCCAGCCAGTTCATCCTCTTACTTATTTACCTTAAATTTTAAGATCAGATACATCACTCTATTGTTGTGTTTCCTTTCGTCCAAAATATAAAAACTGGTAGAAAATTCAGAAAAGCTATAATCCGAAGAATAAATGAACCAAGGAAATTTAGATGGGAATAATCTAGATGTAAAATAATAGAATGTAACAAGTATGATGTTAACAGGTGCGTGATCGGCGATCGCGAACAGTGATCACCGTTCAACAGGCAGATCGGATCATTTTACTGGCAAGGGGGGGGGCTGTAAAGTCGACAGTTTAGGCGCGTGCCCCCTCCCCCCGGCATTAGGGGTGGATATCTTTGACAAATATTGTTACGTAAAATGCGAGACTACATGCTCCAACCCGGCAAAAGTAGTACGATTTCACTTTAATCGGACAGTCTTCCGCCTGTTGAAATATTACTGTTTCGTACACTATGTAGTGTAGGGTTTGTAATTTAATTAAGACAAAACACCAAAATAAATATGGGTCGTAATAACACTTATTTGTTCGAAACCTCACTTAGGTCAGACAAAATATTAGTATAGGTACTTTTCATTGTGTCGAATGGTAAATAATGCACAACTATTATTGTACAATACGAGTCTAGCTTATAACAAACAATGTTTAATGATCATTTTTAGAAAGTCCAATGGACACTATAGCTCCTCAAATAATTATATATACCGTACCTCACGTCTATATATCCTCGAACTTTCTTGTGGTCTTGTGTTAATTGTAAAGTGTTGATATACATTGTATTGCTTTTAGATTTTTTCTATGTTCATTATAGGAAATGAATCAACACAGAAAAAAGAAGCATAAGAACTAATAGTGAAGGAAAACAATATCTAAACGTCAATATTAAAATTTTAGATGAATATATCTCCCAACCAATTTTGATACCAGTTTTAAAAGGTTTTATTAATGTTTCAATCTTCGATTGCATATTATATGAAATAAACATCTTGAAGAACTTGAATGGAAAGTGAATAAAAAAAAAATGGTTTTATCTTTAATACATATGATTTTTTGTTAGGTATACAAATCTTCCTTATTCTTCACGGGTAGGCTTACAATCTACTATACTCATGTTGCTATTCGCAATGCATTGACAAGGAATTCAGGATCATAAAAGTCTCACCGAAGTTTACAGTTTTTGCTATAGACTGAGCGGGTTTAACCTAAATTTTGTACTGTAGATCTAACGAGAAGTAGATAGTCCCATATCAAAAGTAGCATTTTTTACAAAAGAGAGATTTGCTCAATTGGGCCACTGAAGAGTATTCTGCTGTGAAATATCATTTAAACCTTTATATGAGTAACCTTTCAGTCATGATAAAACGAAATGTCAAATCGTTATAAGATATAGACGAGCATGGCGTATGATCCTATATCTTCTAATATATAAAATTCTCGTGTCACAGTGTTTGTCTGCAAACTCCTCCGGAACGACTTCACCGATCGTTATGAAATTTGGTGTGTAGATTCTGTAGGTATGCGAATCGGACGTAAACTATTTCCCGTTTCGAAATTCTTAAAAGGGCTCCGCCCCAGTGGCTCTGGAGTTTCCCATGTTAACCTTATGAGAAATGGAATTAATGAATCTTAACAGCTGTTTCAATTAAACAAGTTGGTTCTGTTCTATGATGTTCAATAGCATTAAAGTTACAAGGATTACCAACAGGGTGCAGCACTATTATTTCTTTTACATTTATGACAACAGCTAATTTGCAACCAAAAGGTGAGTGAGCGTAGCGAACAAACTTCAACCTGGAGGCGAGTGAGCGTAGCGAACGAGCTAACCTGAAGGCAAGTGAGCGCAGC